TATATATATATATATATCAAGTGGACCATTTTGATTGGACTTTGTCAGATGAATGCTTCATTAGCGAATGAGGTGAGTCACATGTTAATTATTCACAGTATTTTAATTACTCATATTTGGCCAATGAAATCTACTGATCAAAAATAATTTATATTCAGTTATTCTGCATGATAATGGTAATATCTAGATCTCAGTTACAGATAAATACTTTACTATTTGGTGTTATATTATTACTACAAAATTAAAACATTGAATTCTCACTATTAGGGAACAAAGTCTACCTTTTTTTATTAAGCTTGATTTTAGAAATTGTCATTAAACTGTCTTTTCTTATTATTTCACTCATTCGAACACATGCACACACACGCACACACACACGCGCGCACACACACAGTATTGTTGTACATTAAGATCAATCGAAACCACCTTAAATTATAACCAATGCCTACAAAGATTACAATAAGTCAAACTGCTCTTTCATTACATATTTTTATACAATATAAACTGACCTAAACACTATGCGCAACTAATACGACAGTTAAATACGAATAATAATAATAATACAACGGAGATAATAATATTTGTGCGCACATAGATTGTTACCCACACACACACATACACACACACACTACGCACACACTTGCCTATTTAGTCCCTTTGACCACAAAACCCGTTATTTGAAAATAACGCCATATGAAATAAGTAAGTGTGTGAGTGTGTATGTGTGTGTATACATATAAAGCTTTCTTTTCGACCAATTCACATACATAAAATCAACCAAATGAGTAACGAACAAAATAAAAAAAGAGAAAAAACAACAATTACAAATAATCGAAATATAATCAGTAAACTCCGTAAGAAAAACTAAATCTCATATATATTTTTTTCTTCTAGTATGAGACCTATTGAAAACCAGACAGTACAGATTACACCAAAGAAGTGGAGCAAAGAAAACACTGGGCTGAACACTTCAAAAGACTTCTAAATCGTCCGCCACCTACAACGCGCCCAACAATACAAACAACGGAAGCAGAACTACCAGTGAACATCAACCCCCACCCCGAGGAAATCAGAAGTCCTGAATGCCATCAAAATGCTAAAAGCTGGAAAAGCAGCAGGACCAGACGGAATCCCAGCAGAAGCATTGAAAATGGATCCAAAGACAACAGCGGAATTGATGACGCCATTACTGGAGAAGGTGTGGAAAGAGGGCAAAGTACCCGAGGATTGGAAGAAAGGATACTTATTCAAACTGCCAAAGAAAGGAGACTTAAGTCAATGCAAAAACTGGCGTGGAATTATGCTCCTGTCCATCCCAAGCAAAATACTAAGCCGCATCATCCTGGAGAGAATCAAACACACCGCCCTGGATGAAAAACTTCGACCGGAACAAGCTGGATTCAGGAGAAACAAGTCATGTATTCATCAAATCGCCACACTACGGATCATCATTGAACAAAGCTTAGAATGGCAGTCACCTCTCTATCTCAACGTCATCGAATTTGAAAAGGCCTTCGACAGCGTCGATAGAGAGGTCGATTTGGAAACTACTTCGCTACTACGGCGTGCCATCGACAATTATACAGCTCATCCAACAGTTATACGACAATGCTGCATGCCAGGTTATCCATAACGGGAAACTTACGGAAGCCTTCGAAGTGAGGACGGGAGTAAGACAAGCTGGCTGCCTAGTATCGCCAATGATCTTCCTGATTGCAGTAGATTGGATAATGCGACAGACAACGGCAACCAACGAGGGAACAGGCATAAAATGGACTCACACAAAAGACTTGGAGGATCTGGACTTCGCCGATGATATATGTCTGGTTTCCCACAAACTGGAAGATATGCAAGTGAAAAGCAACAAGCTGGAAGAAGAAGCATCAAAGACAGGACTTCAGGTGAACGTATAGAAAACAGAGGTGATGAAGATCCCTGGCCAACAGCAACAACAACAACAACAGACGACAGTCAGCCAGCATAAATGAGAGGAACCTGAAAGAAACAACCTCCTTTACCTACCCACCTGGGAAGCATCGTCTCAACTACAGGCGGAACTGACGAGGATATCAAAGCTAGAATCGGGAAAGCAAGACAAGCTCTCATTACTCTCACTAAGTCTGTGTGGAGGTCAACAGCACTCAGCATGAGAAATAAGATCCGGATTTTCAACTCTAATGTGAAGTCAGTCGGTGCTACTTACTACACGGATCAGAGACTTGGCGCGTCATAAAGAGCATCTCCAACAAACTACAGACCTTCATTAGCAGTTGTCTCCTCTCAATACTCAAGATCAGATGGCCAGTAAAGATCAATATCAGGGATCTCTAGGAGCTAACCAACCGGGAACCGATTGTGAAACGAATAGGCAGGAAGAAATGGAGATGGATTGGCCATACTCTGAGGAAACCATCAAGTGGCATCACTAGACAAGCCCTCGAGTAGAACCCGAAAGGGAAGCCGCGAGTTGGTCATCAGTGCAAGGGTGACTTGGAGAAGGTCATGTGAAGAGGAGATGAAAGCGTGTGGGCAGACTTGAAGTGGGGTGAAAACGTTGGCAGAAAACAGAAGGCAATGGAGGCGCACAGCTGAAGCCCTATGTTCCTCTAGGAATTAAAGGATATAATAATACAGGTTACAGCCTAGTTGGGGAATCATCGGCAATAAGCACCCATCACAAGGGTTCGAACCCAGGATCTTCCGGTTACAAGGCCAGCCAGCTTGTATACTATTCAGCCAATGGGTCCCGATTTCTCAATGGTCATCCCATGAATTTTAACTCCTACCAATTCGTGATTCAGGACGACCACCAACCAATGTCGTCGGTGGGGTATCCATCCTCACACTTGTCTGGATCCGCCTCGCTGGTTACGATTTCTCATTAGAACTCCAGGAAACTCTGTTCTGTAGCCAGTCATTAGTGAGCATCAGATTAATTTTCAAGAGTTTGACTTGTAGGGATTAGATGGTGGTCACGCTAAATCATAATGTGGTATAAGTTAGAATTCATGGGATGGCCATTGAGGAATCGGGTCCCAGTGGCTGAATGGTATACGAGCTTGCCTTGTAACCGGGAGGTCCTGGGGTTGCAGCTCTGCCGATAGGTAATTTTAATGTGACTGGCACCAACCAATGTCATCGGCGGGAAATCCATCCTCACCCCTCGACTGGATAAACCTCACTGGTTACAACTCCTCACTAGAACTCCAGGAAATTCTGTCCTGTAGCAAGTTACTAGCGAGCGTCAGATTAATTTTCAATAGCTTGGTTTGTAAGGATTCGAGGTTGACCATGGATTGATATCAGTTAGAGAATCGTTGAAAACAAGCAGGGAGTACTGGACAGTTGTTTCATGGTAGTTTTTAAATCATCGGCAGTAGGGGCACCCAACGGTCAAACTCGAAAAAAACAAAACAAATCTAATCCTTACAAACCAACTCTTGAAAATCAATCTAATATTATCTGGGCAAATAATGTCGTTTCGAAATAACCTTAGATAGACTTGGTTCGGCAAACTGAATATGATATTCAAGTATTGGTTTGTAGGGATATGACTGATTGGTTACAGGATTTCATCATGAGCTGACATTGGTTAGAGAACCACTGGAAAGCCTGCAGGAAGTACTAGACAGCTGTTTCGTCCTAGTTTGGGACTCCTCATCGGTACGCACCCACCGGGGTTCGAACCCATGACTTTCTGGTTACAACACCAGCGAGTTCGTAGACCATTAAGCTATTAAGACCCAATCCAATGAGCTACTACTAGACTCAACTGTTGATTAGAACTTCGTTCTTCGTGAACCATTCATCTCTGTCTAACTGTTACAACAAGAATCGGCGATAAATGATAACTGAGGTAGTCTTCTTTTGCTAAACAAGGTAGTCGACCCAAGGCTAAAAATTTTTAACAAAATCAAAATGTTTTTCTCAGTTATAATCGTCGTTACCTTGAATTATGTAGAAAGATGTTGTAGTCATCCAATCTAGTGGAAGGGGTGTATTTGCTTTGTTGTACATATATGCTTAAGTGAACCAGCTTTACTCATGGTTTATACTGACAAAAAAAACAACTAGCAATTTATATATTACCGGAGATTTATTCACCAAATACAAACACGTGCAATACGTCTGGATGCGTTGTGTTACCGCTGAATATTAAAAAAGGTCAGCACCTGCATGTTCAAAGCATCTTTCACTAATTTATTATGTTCACTAGTACTCCCTTGGGTCCCTTGTGGAACAGTGAGCTTTGTTTTATTCTCTGCCGTCTTCTTCAGCTGGCCGCATAATCGCCCACAGGTTCTCACCTCCTCCTAGCACGATTTCCTCCATGTCACCCTGGAACACACACCCAACTCGTCGTTTATCATTCAGCTTCCAATCGAATGATAGCCTAGAACGCGCTATCAGTCTACAGCTTGCTCAATCCATCTCTATTTTATTCGGAATATTTATTGGTTAATAGGTTCTTGGTTGGTGGATTTCATCAAGAGCTGACATCAGTTAGAGAAACACTGGAAATACCAACACGGAGTACCGCCAGACAGCTGTTTCCTCCATTCCAGTTTGGGACTATTCTGCAGTACGCACCCACCACCAGGGTTCGAACCCACGACCTTCCGGTCACAACACCACCGAGCTCGTAGACCACTAAGCCACTGGGACCCCACCCGGTGGCCCATGAATTCTAAATTCTGCCAATTCATGACATAGCGCGACCACTTCGTAATGTCTTCTTCGATAAGTTACTGCCTCCCCTTGAACATGCCAACCATTAGATCATCAATATGGAGCGAAGGCAGCTTCATAGAATGTAGATATTTTAATTTAACGTAAGGCGAAGGAAGTCACCTGTTAGCGTTAAGTGCCATCAGACTGTGTTTAAGATCCATGTTGACCACCTAATTTTTATGATGACAATAATCCCTGAACTAGTAATCACCTAGAGTTGAGTTGAGCTCTAAAATGCACAAAATTCACCAAAGGGAAAAACAGCTTACCTTGTATATTCTTCTTGAAGCCATACAGGATCAGGAACGTAGAATTTCACACGGAACCAGAATGTATAATTTGTTACACCTTAACATGTTGGTTTTTAAAAAAATAAGGAATGCTGTTAAAATTTAGTCATTATTATTATTATTAATAAATGGAATGCTCGAATATACATTTCAATAATAGACTTTACTAGACTTCAATATAATTGATCATAAATCAATATTAGTTCAGCTGATTATGGATACAATGTATGGTAAATGTTTTCACCCTAAACTATGAGTAATGCATAAAACAAAGTCCATTGAAAAAAAACAACACGAATGAATTTTCAAGTATTGGTTTTGTAGGGATTTTGTTTGATTGCATGGAGGATTTCATCATGATCTGATATCGGTTAGAGAACCACTGGAAAACTTAAGAGTACTGGACGGCTGTTTCCTACGTCCTAGTTTGGAACTCTTCATCAGTACGCACCCACCAGGATACTACCGAAGAGTCTCATACTAGGCTGACGAAACAGTTGTCCAGTACTCCAAGGTTTTCCAATGGTTCTCTAACTGATGTCAGCTCATGACGAAATCCTCCATGCAATCAACACGAATGAATATCTGCGGTGCTACATAATAATACCATCTCATGATGAACTTTAATGTATTTCTGTTATCGTAAAATTTTTATTTACTTTTTATTTTATTTCTCTACTTTCCTAGTGGAAAATAGGGCCTCAAGCTAGAGCTTTTAAGTTTTGATAGCTGGGGTGTTTCTCTTACGTGGGTGAGGTTCTTAGCCTCATGTCCAATCTTCTCTCTGTCTATCTTTCTTATTACCGGCTGACTGAAGTAAAGGAGTGCGTCGGTGGCTAGGAATCGATCCGCCGACCGCATGTATGCTTGGCGAACATTCTACTGCTCAGCTACCGACGCACAGTTATCATATCACTTTACTAAAAAAATATATATCCAGTGTCCACATAAAACAAAATTGATTTAATTCATTATATTCATGAACTGTCCATGGGTGTTTATATCAAGACTGCAAATCCTTTCATTAAAAACTCAACAACAATAGAAAGTCGTCAGATTTTATTCAGGAAATTTATGAATAACACCATTAAAACAGGTAAATTTCACACCAGTATATCAAATCCATAGCTCCTTGTCCATTTGTTAAGTTACGTAATAAAAAACACATCATGATTGTGAAGAATACCCTAGTCAGCAGAAAACTCATGTCATCTTTTGAGTAAATGGCCGACATATGTTTATCTTTTTACTGTGTCAAAAATAAAGTCTGCTAAACTATTTAAGCAATCTGTTTACAGAAGACAAGCTATAAGCCTTTGAGATGACATTACACTAGGGTAAGTTTACATTTCTTATAGTTATAAGTGGAATTCATCCTATTCCCAGTTGAGTACTTAACGCTCTAGTCGACATCGATTTACGAGGAATATGTATACGACAAACATATTTATTTGTACAACTAAACACACCATAAGTGCAAATACTGGAGTAATACCTAGAGTGCTTTAATTACTACAAAAGGTCCGCTTCCTCGACGTCCATCTGACAAGAAACGCCGACAACTCTATGAAAAGGTCCATGTATAAAAAGCCTACATGAACTGGACAATTCATCAACTTTCAAAGCTTCGTGTCCCTAAGCAGAAAGAGGAACCTGATATACGCTCTTTCCTCGAGGACTCGGAAGATATGCAGCAAGGAAGTGATTGATGAAGAACTGAGTAATCTCCAAGGAACCCTGATGGAAGACGGTTTTCCGCCTAGGTTCATAGACAAGAACTTCAAATCAAAGAAGACTTCCGAACAAGTTCAGTCCGTCCCGAAGAATATGTTTCTGATTAATCTAGAATTCAAAGGTGACATTGAAGCGGAAATTCTTCTTAAACGCATCTGCGAATCTCTGAGGAAGACATACTTCGCCACGAGCCTACCACTAACGTTTTCCTGCAAGAAACTGTTCAGTCAGAATGCGAAATACAAGCTGTCGCATTGGGCCACTTCAACGTACATATACCAGTTTACTAGCTCTTCCAGAGCTGAGTACATCGGCCGAAGTATGCACCAACTTGAAAAACGCGCTCGTGAACACTATCCAGTGTGGCTAGTGAAAGGAGAATGATAACGAGTATATAGTTCAGTGATAGAACATGTAGTCAATCCAGGACATTTAGCGCCATTCGAAAAATCCTTCAAAATCATTTACAAGATTCAATCAAACCCTTTCGAAGGGAGTAAAATTGAGACATCTGGCCACAGCCGAGGCACTAGCCATTCAAAACCTCAAACCCACGCTATATATCCAAAAGAAATACGTTTAACCCTTGTGCCTGCCATGGTCATCATAAACAGGTAATTCTTTTAATAGTGACTATCCCATTACCTTTCTTATCCAAACTTCTTGTTTATTCATGCTATTTTTAAGTTTTTCTTAATCCCTATTTACACTACCATATTTTCATATCCGAACTTCCTGTCTATTTTGTGATTTAATTATTTCTACGTATTTAATCCCTGATTGCATAAACGATTATTCGTCACATTAGTTATGATCCCACTGGACTTTTTATCCAACCATCCTGTTTGTCTTGTTATTTCTACATTTCCAACTCCTAGTTATATAATATGTCAATCTCCTCAGCAATTATGATGCTATTTTGTTTGAGTTTTATCCGTCCCTCTGCTTATTATGGCATTTATATTCATAATTGTAATTTTATTAATTTGGCTCTTGGCCGGAAATTATTCTGGAACATTCCTAACCATTTATTATAAGTACCAGAATGTACAGCCTAGTTGATGATTTCGTCGGAAAGAAAATTTTCTTCGCTGCAACTGTCTTTTTATTCTCTTTGAAAAAACCGATCGGGTGTGAGAACAAATACTCGCTGAAAACATTGGCTAAGGGTCGCGCTATGTCGTGGATCGGCAGAAGTTAGGATTCATGGACCATTGCATCGGGTCCCAGAGGCTCAATGGTCAACGAGCTCACCTTGTAACCAGAAGGTCGTGGTTTCGAACCCTGGTGATGGATGCGTACTACTGAAGAGTCCCATACTAGGACGGAGGAAATAGCTGCCTCGCAGTACTCTGTGTTGGTTTTCCAGTGGTTCTCTAACTGATGTCAGATCATGATGAAATCCTGTAACCAATCAAATCCCTACAAACCAACACTTGAATAATTTATATCTGTTTTCACTTATAGTTCAGTCTAGACACTATGTCATTACTGCGGATTCTATTGATTACAAAATCTGAACACAAATTAAGTTATACATTAAATTATTCTGTTAATCATCATGTAACTGTTTATGGTACAAAGAAGCAGAATTGAAGGCGGGTATTAGATGGTTATCCACAGGCCTGTCAAGGACACACATACAAGTACACTATGCAATTCAAGTGTCACGATAAAGAGCATGATTTAAGAAGCTAAAAAGATTTCAAAATTGATTTTATCACTAACCAATATCTGCTAGAAAGCAGCAACAACAACAACAACGAGCACCAATTACTACTGTCAACGGGGGAAATTTCGACCGAAGTCACATCCATCACTTATTCGAGCAGTACTGATCGCGTTTCAACTACGCGCAAGTGGCATAGACGACGATGTCAAAGGCAGAATCGGAAAGGTCAAAGAGAACTTAATCATTCTGAAATCAGTTAAGTTAATCAGTCGGTGACCATACCACGTTGAAAGCACCGGTTCTCCTCCGATCACCGAAGTTAAGCAACGTTGGGCCCGGTTAGTACTTGCATGGGTGACTGGCTGGGAATACCGGGTGTTGCCGGCTTTTTTAGCTGCGTCGGTGGCACAGTGGTTAGGACTCGCGCCGATCATGCACATGATCCGGGGTTCAATCCCCTGCCAAGGCACACCTGATATCTATGGTCGGCCGGCGAAATTTGGGCTACCGATATCACATGCTGAAAATTCCATACTTCTACCAAAAATATAAAAAAATAAGGAAATCTTCTGGATTATGAAGCATATAAACAACAAAATCGGAATTTTCAACACAAATGTGAAGTCACTTCTCCTTTAATTGGGTCAGAAACTTGCCGCACGTGTTACGAAAAGCATTTTCAACAAGTCGCAGACTTGCAACAACAGGTGCCCTCTGGCTTCTTACTGAAGACTATATGGACGGCTAGAAGGAATTAGAAACAAGGAAACTCCGGGAATAAGTCAACCAAGAGCCTATTACACAATAGCTATGTCTAAGAAAGTGGAAATGGATCAGACCGTCAGGTGACATCACACGCCAAGCCCTCGAAAAGAAACCTAGTAGGAAACAACAAGTTGGGTGTGTGTCCAGAAGAAATCGGGAGAAGAGAAGATGAGATATTGTGGACAAACGTGGGGGGAGGCGAGTTATAAAAGACTGCGGAGAACAAAAGAAAGTGGAGATGTGCTGTTGAAGCCCTATGTTCCAATAGGAACGCAAATGAATAATAATAATAATTGTTATCCCAGATAATCTTCACGAAACAAAGCTACAATGACGGACAATAAGTTGTATTTGAAGTGTCCACAATTAAACGGTACATTTTAATGCATTGTTTCTCTGACACTGGTTGTCACCTATTGAAATTTCAGGTGCAATCTTATTACCTTAAAAGCACCAAAGAAGGAATCACCGTAGAGACCATTTTAAGCCTCTTTTAGCCATTCCATGGTTGTTTGAGGCCATTTAGTAGTACATATCCAGAAGGCGAACTGTATAACCTCTCAGGTATGAATACTTTGTTCTTGAAAGCCACTCACGGGATATGCATCTGGTTTTATAGTTCACATATTTGTCGAGCCTGAGGACACATGCAGATCTTTGCGGTTGTTGTCCAAAACACTAGATTACATTTTAATTCATGAAGCTAAACACATAATGTTGAAATGAATAGTTGGACACCTCTCACATAAACTAATCCAGGTGGTTTGAGCTGAATCGGATCTCTCTACGATGAGTGAAACTGCTTATGCCACTGATGAGTGGTTGTTTGGTGTTTAAATCACTTCATTATGACCACATAGAATGATGTGGTTAAGTAAAGGACAAAC